GGTAACACACAATTTTGCTTTCTGAGAACATTGAAGCTTTGTCTATTTGTCAAGTTTTCTGACTTAGGCATCGGAGAGGTTTCCGGCACACACCCGCCGGCTAGCTCACGTTTGTGTTTTCAGGTGATAAAGCGACGTCGTACGGAGGAGCGTGGACTTGGTCAACAGGATTATACGAGGAGAATTATTTCCTCCCCGTACATTAGGTATGTCTAAAAAGTAAAAAAAAATTACTTAAAATATTTAAAAAAAATTAGTAAAAACAAAAAAATAAGAAAATATAATTTTTTGAAAAGCATTTTTGAAAAAATAAAACCAAGCAAAGTAATCTTTTGTCGAATTTGTGAGGTTTAATGTGTTTTTTTTTTTAATTTAAAAAAAAAATTATAATTTACCCAAAACATAAAAATCAAAAGTTTATGTAGAATTGAGCTACTACCGAGTCCGGGGTGGAGGTTGGGAATTGGGATGGGTCGGGCAGATATGAAAAATTTCTCTAACCCGAACCAAACCCGAGAGGTTTGCCCCAATCGAAAACGGTAAAACCCCTCTTCAACCCTCCTCGTCTTCATTTTTCCAACTCTTTCTTCGCAGTCTCTGTAACTTTTGTTCGCTCCAAATGACTTCACTCGCTTCCCGATTCGTAAAGTTATTGAGAGTCCCTTGTACTTCCAGACCCAACTCTTCATTCGGTATCTCTCTCTCTCTCTCTCTCTCTCTCTCTCTGTATATATATACGTATGTATGTGTGTGTAAATGAAGCTTAATTAGTTGATATAACTTAGGATTACCCTACTTATATTAATGATTTTATGTGGGTTTAGCTAAGAAACTATTTTTAAGATTACTTTTGACTGTATAGTTGTGTGCATATATAATAGGCACACGCTAATAAGTGCCCCAGACATTGTTTAATTTTGAAATTTGTGTATAAAGTGGCTTGAAAATGGTTAAATTGTTGAAAAAAAAGGTTCTGAAATCAATTAAGAGTGTTTTGAAATTAGTGAAAAAAAATTCACTTTTTTCTGTTTGGGTGTGCCCAAGAGCGCTTACTATATGAATTGACGTTGTGTCGTGTCCGTTCATGGTGTGGTATATAAGAAATGGGGATGTGTTTTTGATGGGAATGTTTTTGTTGGATGAGTTATAATTGATGGGCTTGTGATAAAATGCAGTGGTTGGGATGCAAGGAAGCTCTAAGTTGTGCTACTCAACCTTTACAGTTGATAGTGACAATGATAATGATGGAAAGAACAAAGAAAGTGAAGACTATGATGATGATTTTCTGGCTGAAAAGCCAGAGTTACAACCACAGAGCGTGGATCCCAGAAGGGGTTGGGGTTTCCGTGGTGTGCATAAGGTACTTGATATTAGTTCCCAATGAAGAAACAAATTTGCATATCATTTAAATGAATGTAATACAGGATTTGAATGGTCCATTTTTATTTATAAGGTAGATACATAGATGATGTAGAGAGGGAGTCAAGGCCGTAATTTCTGGTGTTAGTCTTTATACCTAGTGATACTAAAACGTGACTCCTCTCTCAATTTCATTACCCAGAAATTCATGGAAAGGAAACGAAATTTTTGGGCTGATATGTTTTTTTGCTCTAGGAATATTGAAACCCTTAACTGTGAGTAAAACGACTATTGGGCTTTGGGTTGACCTTTTTTTCCTTTCTTTTTCTTTTTCTTTTTCGGAGAGGGATTGGTTGTTTGCAGACCAGAAAGTTCATAAAGAACAAGGTTGAAAATGCATTTTATCTTCTTGTGCTCAATGCTTTTGGCAACCACATCGTGGGTTAGATATTAAAAATTGCGTGTTGTAGAATTAAGAGCTTTATTTGAGGGTTGGTCTTGATTTTTGCAGGCTATTATATGTGGAAAAGTTGGGCAAGCTCCTGTGCAGAAGATCTTGCGAAATGGCCGAACTGTAACCATCTTTACAGTTGGGACAGGGGGCATGTTTGATCAAAGAATTGTGGGAGCAAAGGACCTGCCAAAACCAGCTCAGTGGCATCGAATTGCTGTGCATAATGAACCTCTTGGGGCATATGCAGTTCAACAACTCATCAAAAAGTATACTTCCACTTTATTTATTTATTTTGTTTAGTATAAATGGATTTTCTTCATTTTTTTTTAATAATTTGTTGAGCTTTTTTGCAGCTCTTCAGTGTATGTCGAGGGTGACATTGAAACTAGAGTTTACAATGACAGTATTAATGGCGAAGTTAAACATGTGCCAGAGATATGTGTACGTCGTGATGGTATGTTAACACGCCTTGCATTTTTTTTTTAAAAACATCATTCTTGTTATTATTATGTTATGGATTTCAACCATTCTTGTTACCTTGCACACAATCACTAGCATCCCTTGTTTCCATGTGTGTCCCTCTCTTTTTTACGGTTTTTTTGGGTCAGTCTATCGTGTGTGATAAAGATCTATTATGCAATAGGAAAGAAATAGTGGTATCATTTAAGTATATGGCGTCAGAAGCTCAAAATGAACACAAAAAAATAGTGTTGGTAGAGCCAATGAGAAAGACAATGACCTATGAATTGGACGAGAATTTGGCCCCATATAGCAGAAAAGCTAAAAAGGCTCGCCCTAAGTTATTAACACTTCAGGATCAGTTGAGTTGACTGGCTGAGGTGACGAGCAACCTGGTGTAAAAATCTATGATGTTTTAAATAGGTTGTCCAATCAACTTATGTTAGTGATATTCATGAATGTGGTTGTTTTGTCACTGTCCTAGTTGGTTACAAGTTATTTAGTACGTTAAAAATTGACATGTAATGTAACTATATAAAACCCTTAGGAGTCAGTTATCAAGACTTGAGACAGTAATAAAAGTTCGTGAAAATTTAGAACCTTCTTGATGTAATATGCATTGGGTTACATGGAACTTTGAATTTAGTGCAGAACCTATGAAACTATGTAACTTCATGTCATATTGTTCTGTTTGTTTTCTTGTAGGGAAGATTCGCCTTGTGAAAACAGGAGAAAGCACCAGCAACATTTGCTTTGACGAGCTTCGTAAGTTCTAATAGTTGCAACTATAATTTTGTCCACTGGTATACAGCCCAAGCTGGGAAAAATAAATATATAAAAATAAATAAATAGGAATGACTAAAACACCTCTGGAATAGTACTACATTATTTCTTCAACAACGGCATTTGGATAGGGAATAATGATCTTGTGAGTAACTACCAGTATTTCCAGATCCAGAAGTTGTCATTGAGTAGGTATTCCAATTTTTATGCCTTGATTATGCCTTGATTATCATGTCTGTCTGTTGTTGGCAGGAGAGGGATTGCTTGCGTAGGAGTCTGTCGGTAAATGTGCAAATTTTAATATCAAAAAGGCAGAGCGGCCAAAGAATCATATATTTGTAAGAAATATATATGGGTTTAGTTATTCTGATTTGTTACCAGGCCAAATTGTTTTTTTCATTAACTTGATTTTCCTGCTGGGATCTAAAAATTTCTTTCGTTTCTCATCTTATTTTTTCTTTGAATGATTGTTTTTGGGTATTCTTTCTTTTTCTTCTCTCTTTTCTCTCTTCTTTTTATTTTTATTTTTTGAGGTAGGGGAATGGGGTGGAGGTATCTGTGTGCGACGTGACTGCATTTATTTGTCTCTTTGATTCGCAACAGGTCAAGTAGATCCATCAATGCCAAAATTGCTTGATTGATACCAGAGGTGTGTCTCAAGTCATTGAGAATGCTTCTTATGTTTGGTGTACATTATAAATTTGAGTACACTTTTAACAATTTTAGACCATACTAGTTGATGACTCGAAAGGAAGTAGGAGCAGCTGGTTGTGTTTACTGGTTACAGTTGCATTCACACCAGTTCAAGTTTCTTGATGTAGATAATCAGGCATATATTTGGACAGTTTCGAATTGAATGAACTATTCTTTGGATTGTTTCGATATATGCATATGGAAGTGTGCACATCAATATTTCTGTTGATTATGTATTTAATTCCTTGGGTTTACAATTAAAATTTCTATTGAGCAATCCTCTACATGTAAGGTAATAGACATCAGAACTTGAAGGACAAATGGGTATATGATCATTAAATGATAAAACGTGATTTTGGTGATCCCAGTTAAAACAAATCTTCCATCTCATCTTTGGTAATACTTAATTGAAAGATATCTTTCCCAAATTTTGATAGTTTATCACTTGGAAGGACCTGTGTTTTGGTAGATACTATTTATTAATCAAGGTTTCAATACCATTTTTACGTTATTGTACATCAAAGGGATACACGGATACATTGCACACCACAGGCTTTGTATGTTTCACATTCAAATGTCATATATGAACAAGCAAATTTTAATATTTTATCAATGCTCAATAGATAGAATTAACATAACATGTTCAGTGAAAACTGAAAAGCAGAAAATCTCTAGAATTTTTTTCAATTTTTTAGCAGACTTCAGTTCCATCTAGTAGCACAGAGCACTACAATACTAACTGAAATTCATGTGAGGTTACAATCTACAATCCCCTCTTAACATCATGATATATCAAAGCAGTAAATCACACTTGAAGGTCTTAAATTTGATATCAATATTTTATTTTGTAAGTTTCTATTGTAATGCAACCCATTAATTTGATGAGTTTTTACAAAAACTAACTGAAATACAACAAAATAAAATGGGTCTTAAAGTCTTTACATAACCATGCTAGAGATTGGATTCAATAAAAGTTGAAAAATGAAAGAATTGTGAGCATCAAAGAATGGGAAGAGAGTCTGTGAGAGAGAGAGAGAGAGAGAGGGCACCCAAACTTTTGTACACAATACAATTCAATTCAATAAAAGATGAAAATGAAATCATTGTGAACATCAAAGAATAAGAATAATTAAATTCAATAGAAGTTGAAAAATGAAAGAATTGTGAGCATAAAAAATGAGAGAGAGAGAGAGAGAGAGAGAGAGAGAGAGAGAGAGAGAGGGGGGAGAGGCAAGCAAACTTGCACAACTCAAACCAAGTCTTAAATTCTATTAAAGGAGATCGGTTACATGATTATTTTTTTTTTTCACTCGACTCTAGCAACGACCATTTGGTTAGTCAAATTAAAGAGATTCATATTTCTATTTATTACACTAGCTCACGTCAATCTAGGACTGCTCCTTCTCCTAACACCTCCATCTACCGTCACTGCATTGCATCTCTTTGTTATTACCTCTGTTGGTCTCCGTTATATATGACCAAACCATCTTAATTTATTCGCTCTCAACTTATCTTCTATTAGTATTACTCATACTCATTCACGAATATACTCTTTCCTGATTTTGTCTTTTCTAGTCTTTCTACTCATTCATCTTAGCATCCTCATCTCAGTAATACTCATTTTATCTACATGTTGTTTCTTACTTGTCCAACATTCTGTCCCATACAATATCGGTGGTCTAATAACTGTTCTATAGAACTTTCCTTTTAATTTAGTGGGTACTTGTTTATCGCACAGTATCTCGGATGCACTCCTCCACTTAATCCACACCGCCTTAATTCTATGGACCACATCTGCTCCAATCTCCCTAGCCGTTGTGATGATCGATCCAAAATAATGAAAATGTTCACTCTTAGGTAGTTCTTGGTTCTCAATTTTCACTTCTCCTCTACTTCCATTGTTATAGTTACTAAAATTACACTCCATTTACTCCGTCTTAGTTCTGCTTATCCTAAACCCTTTAGATTCAAGTGTTTCTTTCCAAGTCTCCAACTTAGTATTAACTTCTTCTCTAATCTCATCCACTAACACGATATCATCTGCAAAAAGCATACACTGTGACACATTATCTTGAATATCTCTCGTCAACTCATCCATAACTAAAGTAAAAAGCTATGAAGCATGGACACCTCTCTGAGGGCTGCGTATTATTGTCAGACATGTGTTGGACATGGACGCGTGTCCAACATGTAGTAGAAGGTGTTTGATTTTTTATTTTTTTTGATTTTTTTGCAACCGGACACGTAATGGACACGTTCGGGACACCGCAGGGTGAAATTCATAATTTATGAAACTCTATGGGGTTCAATTTGTAAAAAACAAAAACAGATCAATTTGTAACCTATAATAGAACAAAGAGAACAGAAGAGAAAGAGAAAGGCTCGTCGGCCACACCTGGTCGCTTTTCACTGGTCAGCCAGTCAGCCGTCGCTCATCAGAGGTCGCTACTCTTACTGTTATCCAAGGTACAACTTCAATCTTCTTTTTCTTCTTCTTTTTTGATTTTCTCTCTCTCTCTCTCTCTCTCTCTCTCACACACACACACACACACACACTCTTCTACTCTGATCTTGAACTTTCATTTATTTATTCTTTTATATGGTGATTGTAAGAAATATCTCTGTTTGTGCCTCTCTCTCTTCTATTTTTTTTTCTAATTTTATTTTATTTTTTCTTTTCTTTCTCTCTACCTTTGTTATTTGATTATATTCTCTCTCTCTCTCTCTCTTTGTTTTTTTTCTGATTAGTTTTGTTAATTTTAATAATATGTGTTTTTTTTATTTTATAATTTTAATAGTATTATTTTGTATTTTTTTTATTTTAATTTTATGGCATATAATAAATAATTTAATTATATATATTAAACGTGTCCCTTGCATGTGGTTTCCTCTATTTTTTAAAAATTTACATGTCCACGTGTTCGTGTCGTGTCACGTGTCTGTGTCTGTGTCTGTGTCCGTGCTTCATAGGCAAAAAGATAAAGACTTATTAAGGTTGATCCTTGGTATAACCCCATAGTAATTGAAAATTCACTTGTCTCTCTAGCAAACGATCTAATAGTGGTCACCACATCTTTATACATGTCTCTAATCATATCAATGTAGCCTTTTGTCATCCACTTTTGCTCTAACACCCATTAGATTGTATCCCGAAACACTCTATCATATGCTTTCTCAAGATTGATAAAAACCATATGAATGTCTCTTTTCTTTTCTCTATACTTTTCTATTACTCTCCTCAAAAGATAGATCGCTTCTATTGTTGATCCACAAGGCATAAACCCAAATTGATTATCTGACATCTCTGTTATATTTCGCAATCGACGTTCCATCACTCTCTCCCACACTTTCATTATATGACACAATGACTTGATTCCTCTATGGTTATTGTAATTCTTGACATCTTTTTTATTCTTATAGATTGACACTAAAATACTCTTCCTCCACCCTTCTGACATTTTCCTAGTCAACAAAATCTTGCTAAATAACATAGTCAACTAAGCAACCCCCTTCTTACCCAAACATTTTCAAGCTTCAATAAGGATATCATCGGGTCCTAAAACTTTATTCGATTTCATCTTCTTAAGGGCAATCTCTACTTCAAACTTCTTAATCCTGCGCTAGAACATGTAGTCTTGGTTTTCCTTATTACTAGCTACTTCTTTCCTTTTTGACGACCTTCCTCCATATTCTTCATTTAACAACTTCTCAAAATAGTTATTCCACATTTCCTTAAACTCTTCATCCTTCACCAACACCTTAGAGTCCTTACTTATGATGCATTTAACCTGATTAAAATCTCTTGTTTTCCTCTCTCTTATCTTAACAAGTTTGTATATTCTCTTTTCTTCCTCCTTACTATCTAGTCTAGTGTATAGGTCATCATAGACTTTCAAGTTAGCCTTTCTCACTAATTTTTTGACCTCCTTATTAGCTAATCTGTAACTTTTAAGATTTTTTTTCAGTTTTATCCTTCTGTCATTTTTAAAGCACTCTTTTTTCGTCTTTACTACTGCTTGAATCTCCTCCTTCCACCACCAAGTTTTCTTAGAGTTGGGTCCATTTTCTTTCGACTCTCCAAGGACTTCTTTTGAAATTCTCTTCATACAATTGGCCATCAAGTTCCACATAGTGTTATCATCATCTTCCAAGTCTCAAGTACTTTTATCCATTCTATTCTTAAATATTTATAGTTTATCTCCTATACCTTCCGTATCCATTATATTCTTAAATATTTCTGATGTATCCCCTTTTAAGTTCTACTATCTTGTCAACACCCACTATCCTTCCTAATTTCATATTGCCCTTTAAAGTATAAATTTAATACCAAAATCCTATACTGAGACGTCAAACTCTCTCCAAGAATCACCTTATAGTCACTGTATTTTAGACGATCCATTTTTCTTACTAGAAAGTAATCTATTTGGCTCATAATTGACTCACTTTTAAAAGATTATCAAATGCTCCTCTCTCTTCTTGTACATAGTATTGGCCATTACCAAGTCTGAAGCCAACACAAAATTTAATATACTCTCTCCAGTCTCATATCTATCACCAAAACCATACCCACCATACACCCTCTCATAACCTAATTTATCTATTTCTACATGGCTGTTGAAATCTCCACTTATAACTAGGTTCTCTCATGCGGATATCTCCTGTAATACTTCATCCATTTGGTTTCAAAAATCTCTCTTAGTCTGATTATCCAATTCTACTTGGGGCGCGTATGCACTAATAACGTTCACTATATTCTTTCCAACAACTAATTTAATTAACATAATCCT